CATTGATGCCGTGATGCATTCAAGCTGTGAACAATGTATAAGCCTTACATTAACGAACACATGAAGTATGTTGATTTTGGAAGTGTCCTTTGCATTACCACAAAGTGCGACGTGTAAAGGCATTGAAGTCCCAGGCAAAGGCGGGTATGATAACACCAAGTAACACCATCTTTTGTGAAAGACGGTGGTTTTATCAATACGTGCTTTCGTTTTCAATGAGATCTATCATAAGGTTGCAATTGATGGACCACATGCCGATCAATGTTTTTCCAGACTATCAATTTTCCTCCGCTCACCGAAGCTTAACGGTGTAATACAGGCATTCTGCTTTATAACTATTTTCGACAGTAGTAACATTCTATCGACCAATTTTACATTAACTGTGACCTTCTTAATATAGGTCCCATCCAACCATCAGCCATGCACAACAAGCAACTTGTCTTGCTATTATACTGTTGCTGTTCATCTGACCCCGTTAGCTTTCAACCTGTTTTAGTGCAATTGCGTTTCTGCCAGCTCCGCCACCAGCGGTTTCTGCCAAACGGTTTGAACCGGCAAAGACCGGCTGGCACAGACCGTTTAAGACGGTTGATGCCCATCGTAAGCCATTGCTTGAGAAGTGGCACAGAGTGAGGGAACAACCTGCTGGTGTCTTTGCTTATGCGTTATGGGAACTATCCGCTGGATGACTTTCAAACGTCATATGATGGTGTCTCCGTGACTTTTATAAGTCACGTGAATGGAGCAGAGAGGGGACACATAACGGAAAATTAGAAAGAATGACGAACTGATGCTCAGGCTCAGTGGTGCAAATCATGCTAAAATTACAAGAATACAGTAGAACCTACAAGCCGTAAACCGGGCTTACGCTCATGACAAGGAGCACGCCGTTAATCGTTTTGTATACCTGGCAAAACAGGACACAAGATGAATGTTATTTTCGAGACGTTACGCTTGACATATCGTAACCAGGAGAGACGGAGGGGCACCTAGCGTAACCGGTGCATGACCAGAGGGAAGGGAGACTTGAAACATGACCAAAAGTGCGGAGCGGAATTCATTATCCGTCCCGGTGGCTCACTTGGTTAGAGCACCTGCCTTCCGATCCACGCACCCGTGGCGGCCTGGGTTCCAGTCGCTTTGGGCGCTCGCTATTTGCCTCTGACAGGTATGGCCTGCGGCTGGTGGCAGCGGTCGCGCCAAAGGCCAGTTGACGTCAGTGAGCAGGACGGACTGTGCCGAGCATTGCAGCACGTTAAACTTTCGCCACTAAATTCTACCGCTGCCTGGCACTGCGTTATCGGATAGTAAGGGTCAGCGCTCACACAGCAAGCATTGCTTAGCGTGAGCTCTGATCCCAGAAGTCCATCCATTCAAAGGGTTTACATTAAATTATAACAAATAGTCGACCCCAAAAGAGGCGTACCTCCGCGCGCGGTACCGCGCCAGCGCCAGGCGCCAGTAGGGCCGCATCACGACTGGGACGAACGGTGAGCGCATGGCCAGCCCGAGCAGGTCCGCCAGCTGGCGCTCGGTCGGCGGCGCGAACTGCAGACACCGCAGCAGCATCTGGCGACACAGCCGCGCCAGGTTGGAAGGGGTACACAGGGTATCTGCTGGCAGATGTGCTGCATACTTCACTCACGACTGAGGCGAGCACGTGGACACGTTCCTGAATGGAACACGGACGGTACATTGCGCCGTGACCAACACTCATATAGTGCCCCGCTGCCAGGTGCCTGAGACGGCAGATGCGAGGCGCACCGACCCCTGTGTCGTCGCCACTGGTCCGACACGCCGGGCCGTAACTGACCGGCAGGAAGGTGACCTGGGGTCGGGCTGTGAGTGACCGGCGGAAAGGTGACCCCGGATCGGGCTGTGACTGACCGGCGGGAAGGTGACCTGGGGTCGGGCCGTGACTGACCGGCGAGAAGACTGACCCGGGGTCGGGCCGTGACTGACCGGCGGGAAGGTGACCCGGGATCGGGCCGTGACTGACCGGCGGAAAGGTGGCCTGAGGTCGGGCCGGCACTGCTCGGCCGGCCAGCGCCGCGCCCACGCTGGCCGTCAGCAGCAGCAGCAGGCAGAGTAGGGCGTCAGGCAGCTGGCCGGGAGCCACGAAGCCGTGCCACACCAGGTTCCGCAGGTTCAGCGTGCACGGCGGGCCGAGCAGCAGCCGTAGCAGGTGCACCTGACGCGACCACAGCGTCAGTACGGCAACGGACGACAGCGGGTATGGAGCATGGCCAGTATGGAGCAAAGCCAGTATGGAGTATGGTACAGTCTAACAGGGGACGTCCTGGGAGCGTTGGTGCGCTTCGGATTCTAAGAAAAGGCCGGTAGACATGACTTACAAAGCAAATCAGCTTTAGATGTTGACCATTAGACCGGATCGTGATAAACATTGTGAAAAAACAACAAACGGCAGACCAGTGACACTACTCTGATACTCAGGTGGAAACTGTCGGTACCATTCGTTCACTAATGTTCATAATGCAAAAACACTATATTAATGCGCGCAACGGAAGTGGTTTAATAAAACACTATTAACACGCGCCCGGGTGGCTTGCATACCCTTCGCTAGGGGGGGGAATCAATTTGACCCTGAGATCTCAGGAACTTACGGGGCTACGTACACCAAATTTGCAAGATGTATTGACCTGTACGTCAACTCACTTAGGTCAAAGTTTGGGGCTCTTAGGTCGTGACGTTCGGGTCAAATAAGGTCAAACAGGGTCAAATTCCAGGCTGGTGTCCAAAAGACCCCTAAAACTTAGATAACTGCTCTAAGCAAAAGGTCACATGCTTATTTAAGGTCAGTGACTTACTTGACCTTTTCACGATAATGGTGATCAAAATCATAGAAAACTTCCTTGAGCTTTGCATTTGAATAATCGACAAAAATTACGCTAGGCCGTATGTTCCTAAAACAAAATGCCGACCTAGGTCATCCTAGGTTGGTGACTTATTCTGACCTTCAAGAGGCCCATGGAATGTGTATAATGCGGTTCCTGCCATCAACAAGTTCAAAATGAACGCCAGAAACTGACCCTTACAGCAAGTTCTAAAAAAATAAAACAGGTTGGTTTTGACCTTGGACTAACCTTAGTGCCTGACCCTATGTCAATGACATTTGTTTATTCAATTGTTGTGTTGCCTGAGAAAACCATGGCCTGACTTTGACCTGCTATTGGTCAGTGACCTTACAAGGTACATCTAAATTCTTGATGCCAAGCAATCCGCTATTCACTTGTCTACCGCCATGCAAAATGCGGCGCGGCTAGGGCGCCCCGTTCGGAAACCATTTTGGAAAAAAACTTTTAGGGGTCAATTTGACGCCCCCCACCGGAGTGCGCGTTAACAAAATCCCTTCCAGTTCAATGGCTTCTCATTCTGAAAGAAATTCTAGATGTAGGTAATCAGTCGATGCAGTCCCGGCGTCAGGCCACAATTCGAGTCCTGAACACATGTTACAAAGGATTGACACAAACATACATCAAAACTGTGGCGATTGAAATGGATGCCATCCGTCCCCTACCAGTGTGACCCCCAGTATTTCTGTGAGTTCTGGAGCACTGAGGATATCTTTCAGAAGCGACGGAACTCGACTGGTCTTCAAGAGCAGTATCTGTAAGAAACCAATGGTGAGCATGGCTTGCATCACCAAAGAAAGACAACATTCAGGACAATAGAATCGAACCATTTTATATTAAAGGAATTACCGCCACTGATACCTCTTTCGTTATCCTTTCTCACAAGACAGACCATCACTTACGACCACACGTGAGGAACCGAAAGTCACTGCAACTTTCCTCCAACGGCATCCGGTTCGCTTTGAGGGATACCGCATGGCTGGCTTCCGCTATAGTCGGCTTCTTTCCGTTTTCAACGTTTGTTTTCAGCCTCGGCTAAGGCTTTATTTTTTGTATTCAGCCATCGTTTTGGCTTTAAACAGCATTTCAAGCATGGCTCCCGTTTCAGCTTCACGAAATCTTGACCTGCTAGCCATGGCTTTGTTTTCCCTTTTCACTGTGTGCTACGACGTGACTCCACGGCAGTACCGGCCGTCCAGCCATCACAATACACCATACAGCATTTCAAGGCTGTGGTCTAGTGTGGATGAAAGCCCCAAACACCGGCCAATCATTCTGAGGACCAACCAACAGGTGGCGACGGCCGCAGAACAACTGTGTAAAACGTTCTACGCGTGCTAACACACCAGGCTAAAACGGAAGACAAAAAACCTACCCTTCGCACTTCATCTCAACCACTCAGCAAAATTACGATATTTTCTGGTTCCACGCGCAATAATGGAGCATCACTTTATATATACTTTAGTCTGTCAAAACAACGCATTATATTCGGCTTTGGGTGCAGGGTCTCAAATTCGCCCTGATGGCTTTCAGCTTCGTGTTTTCCAAGCTATACCTCATTGACTTCCGGTTTCCTCGTAAAAGGCTCCATGTCACACACTTCAGATTCGGCTCCGCGTTTTTGATCATACGAAGCCACTGGCTTCGATTTCGTATGCTCCGACTCCGAAGCCACCTGGCTTCTCTCAAGTCATTGTCCTGGCTTCAGAATCGGCTTTGAAACCGGAGGCCTGGCGTCGTTCCCATAGCTGATCGCGCAAACCCATCGTTTACTTAAGCCAGTGCCATATGACCCATCCATAATGCGCATACCGTTGCTTTACCGCCTGACCGATATTATTCACAGTTTTAAGGTGCACGTGATCATTGTGCTGAGGGGCCAGTCCGGACGCAGGTATGGCTCGGCCGTCCGTGAGCCGGGCGGCCGCGGCACGTACGTTGCCCAATCCGCGGTCCACAGCGGCGCACAGCTCCGTCACGTGCAGCGTCAGCTCGGCCGGCTGGTACGGGGCACAGCCGGCGCCCAGGCGGCGCAGGCAGGCTGGTTGGAACGGCAGCCAGTGGGCGCAAAGGCCGTGCAGCCGCGCCGCCGCCTCGGCCGACACGGCGGCCATGGCCTGGGCGGCAGCTACCAGCAGGGCACGTAAGGGCCGGCACAGCTGCTCCGTCCTGCTGCGGCAGAGCGGCTCACCTGCGCCTGGGCACAGAGGGCGCTCAGTGGGATGGCAGCAGATACCTGAAGCGCCCTTAGCCAGAAGCCTTCATAGGTAGGTTCATCAAGCTTGCATGGTTCTGATTGGGTATATAGAGCCAGGACACATGTTACATATCTGACAAATTTAGGTAGGCCAAACGGCGTGTTATCACAAATGGTCAGCATGAACAGCACAAGCTTCAGTGATATAATCATGTGTCATTGTGTTTTATGACGCACCCAGCTGCTGAGGCCATATGGCATCACCCGCCTATAACCCTGGTAGGAAGGGCAGGCACTGCGGGGAATTGAACCTCACCTCTGGTTTCCCAAGCGCCCGGTGGTTAACGCAGATGCATAAACCACTATACTACCAGCAACTCCTCAGTGATATAAACAAATACAAAGTTCATAAAGACTGACCTGGTAAAAGTGCAGCAATGATATCCCACTGCAGCTCACCACTGTCACCAATAGCACTCCTGCTAATCTTGCAGACTTCACAAGCATCTTGTGATTGGATGGCCTCATCAATGCTTGTCTTGCATGCCTCACAAGCTTCCTGTAGTTGGATGGCATCATACAGAGCCTGAACAGAGGGTGAGAGGAATGATTCTTGCTCATCTGCATAGTTCATCAAAGAAGCCTGCTCCCAACTGCAATCTGTGAAGTGTTTTAGCACTATTTAAAGGTGACTACGTATGCCAGGTTCTATGTTTTCGCACACATAATTGCCAACTAACTAGGACAAGTTTGATATGGGATGGGGCGAGCTGTTGATGTGGAAGAAGCACAATGTGGATTGCCCAAACCTTGAGGACACAGGTCTACATATGTACGTGAATGACTAGAAATGATGAATAACAAACACACATCTCTAGCCCTGACAGTTCCGTCCGCATTAGTGGCTGGTGTGAGAAGCGAGCACTAGGCTGCAGCCTTGGGTACTGTAGCAGCAAACATGGTCACCTCATAACCCCCTTTTCCTCTGGAATGAAAGCACATCCGTTCACACATCTTTATCATCGAGATCGAGATAAACGAGATTAGGATTTACATGTGGTTATTCAAACACCTAAAATTTTCTAAGATCTATATTTAAACATCAGTTTGGAGGAAACAAAACCTTACACCAATTTACCAGGGTGTTGCCGGTGTAGGCTTCCTTACTCATAATCCCGCCTGAATCTAGTTAACCTAGGACACAAATCGTACATCGGCATTTGTTAGGGTTGTGGGCTTATGACGTGGAAAGACGTGCGAATGTGTGAGGGGAGAGCCATGTAAAGGGGAGCCTGGGTGGCGGGGAACCCCGGAGTTGGGGATGCGGGTGATGCTCGGAGGATGGTATGGCGTCGTGAGCACGATACAGTGATTACGTTGGTACCGGATACATTTATCATCAGCGGTGGGATCATCGATTTCATAGATCCTCCGAAACCCGGCCGCCATCTGGTATGCGGCAGGGGAGTGTCATCCGTATCGTTCAACATTATCGAAAAGTGGTAACATCGAGCTGCGTGAGAAAAGGGATGGTCTGTATACAAACTATGACGTCATGTACACCGTATCTGTTGACGTCAGTGGTACGGAACCCTCTCAATTAGCCAGCTGACTGCTACACGACCAGGGGGGGGGGGGGGGGAGGGCGTCATCCGTATTAAAAGGGAGTGTGAAAGGGAATGTTCCACCTTTATAGAGGATTTGAACTAAAATAGACATCTTGAGGACCTTTCGATGCGGTTCACGACCATGCATCTTTAAGACCTAAATGCCTTTGGTTCATGAGTTATACACCAGTAAAAGTGCCAAAAGGTTTATTTAGGAACTATTTCAAAGCCGCCTCCGCAATGATGATGCCATAGAAACGTCATACGATCGCCGTGATATTACAGGCTGTTTTCTGCTTATCGTCAAAAACAGCATGGCCGCTGATACATTCGCAAAAGTGATGATGCGGCACATATGATACAATCCACGGAAAGTGATTGGCTGTGAGTAGGATTGCGCTGCTGAATGCGTGTCGCGAACGTAAGCGTGAGCACTTTCAGGTTGTACGGCGCTCCTCGGCAACGAGTCATTTTTCCGTATATCTAGGCCATGGGCCAAAGTTACAAAAAAGGACGTCACTGTCTGCCAAAAATACGACACCAAAAAAAAAACATGACGTCCTCCTGAATGTTTTAAAAAGAGGATGCAACGGCAACTCTATCTTTTTTCCTGCTGGCGTTTTTCCTTCTTCTGCTCGTGTTTCTTACGGACAGCTCGGTTGGCGCCGCGTGCACCGGAGCAAAGCGTCTTGCACGGATTTATGGGTTAGCTAGGCATTGTAAAATTAGAGGAACATTGCAGTAATTTTACAATTTTTGCTAAATATTGAACACATATTGCACGACTTGACACGACGCGACTCTAAATCTTGAACAAAAAATTGTGTGCTTGAATTACAACTTCTTGATATGCATTTCCACGAACCCCCTTGGGACTGTCTGGGAGGGAGCTCACGGTGAAATGTGGTGTTATGACCAGAAACCTGTGCGGAAATTGTGAGAAAGTCTGGAATTTGATAGTCCCGCGACCTGTGCAAGTGTGGAATCACATTTATTTTACGAAAGAGGGTGAATCAGGGATTGAAATGGTGTGATCACTGGTAGTGCGTGTCATTGCCTTGTATTGATCTTGACGTGATGGGGAGTGTGCGTGCGAGGCTGGTACTTCTGAGAGAGAGCATTGTTTTGGTATCCTTAAAGTCTACTAACTTCCAATCAAATGTGATACATCAATACTTGCCTCTATCTTTATGTTCTTGTTTCAACAGGACAAGGTCGTGATGCTCGTACACTGAAAGAAACACTAGCGCCTGTGTTGCAGGGGTGTGCAAAGACGATTTGCTACTTCATTATGATCTTGCCAACATTTTGAACCTATTGAAGCATTACAGCTTGCAATTCATTCATTGCATGTCATTACATAAGCACTTCATTTTGGCACTATGGGCTGCTCTGCGCAGCTCATTAATGTACATGCTTGGTGTAAGCTCACGTGATACAGCTTTGCAAAATTGTCTTTCCCTTAAGAATTCTGAATTTTGTGTGCAGGCAAGCATTGCTTGTAAGTCATCAATGTCATAGTCGTCACAACTTGTGAGATGCTGGGTGCTGACAAAGGTGGAGAAGATTTCCATCATGAGCCTTGAGTGCATCAGCAGCTTCACCACCTCCTTGCATTTCGCTGATCTAACCATAACTGCAGGCACTTGTCATATCTCCAGAGTTGTACAAGGTCAGCAGGTTTGCGGTGTCATTTCACATGCAATATTTTCTTGCTATACATGTATGATTACCCAGTGTTGGAAATTCGAAAAAAATTCCTGATAGCGGAGTACAAGTTTTCTATGGTGGAGTACAAAATTATCAAAGTGCTGCGGGTCATTCCAGCTTTATTAAGGTTATCTTTGGGAGATAATAGTACAATGGATGGCACTCAACAAAAGCGCCACTTTCCATATACAACAATTCTTGTAAAATCACTTTAAATGAAAGAAAACATCAGTATCAAACATGGCAAACCGAAACAACACAGTCTCATACTCTGTACTATGAAACACATGTGCATGTACATTGGTTCGCAATTTATTAAAGGCTCTGTGCATACACCCTCCAAAACGGAGGGTAATTACGCATCGGGCTTAAGCACTCACCAAACTGGATGGTGGCTACACAACGGGCTTATGCACGCTCCAAAACGGAGGGTGGGTATGATACGCACAGCCAGACAAAAATGGTACACAAAAAATGCAAATGAACATACCACAGACGACCACGGCCACCATGCTCCACCACGATCACGCTACTCACGGTCCACCAGCTAACTGATTTTAAAAACAGCTCAACATTCATGCCCTCCACCTTCCCACTCCCGGTCAACACACGAGGCCCTGCACGTCCCACCCGAACAATAGCGACAGACACCACTCTTAACCGATTTACCCAGCCATCGCAAGTACAATGCCTGACAGACCCATGTAGGCCGGCCGAAAGGGATCGAAGTCAGTCACTCCGCTGACTCCGGCGGATAATGCAAGGTATTTATGGATTTTGATGCGCTTTAACCGATGCCATTGCGAAATAAAATAATTTATGTTGCAATTAACTGATGTTTTTGTCCTAATAAACCCCTCTTCTTAAATTGCCGGGCCAAAGTTATGGATTCACGTTACTTTGGTGTCCTGGTGTTTTTGCCGGAGTGAGATGGCTGTCTCCGAACAATTTTTTTTAGCTATTTATGGTAATGCTTTTCAACTTAAAAGGGCATTTTTGTAAAGCCTGAATTACCAGCTTTAATTTTACACTCTTAAGTGACAAATTTGACTTGGTTTAAATCCACAGCTGCCGGAACATTTTTATACTCCGGATACCAGGAACTGACTAAAAATCCAACTACATGGCGGTTCTGGATGAGTACAAATGAGTCCTTCATAATCGTAATGTCCATCTCTACACAGCTTCCCTCTAAATGTTAGCAAATCTGTTTACAAATCTGTTTACAAATCAAAACATGAGCGCGAGCGGAATACTTATGCTCCTAACAAATCAGTCACGCGGAGGCGGATCATTAAAACTAATTGGAGAGTTTTGCTATGTTCAACCTCCAACCTGAGCTGGGAGGCGGGCGCCAGCCGCTGAATAGTTTAGACGTTTCCGACGCTGAATTGCGAGTGACTCTCGTATTTGCATTGCTATGACACTGGTGGCGCGCGTGGGCGGCCGTCTGCAGTGGGTGATTGGGCGTGCGGTTTTCTATGAATATTCGTTGCATCCTTAGCATCAATGCGGTTTGTCGTCAATGGTAGGTTAAGTCATGTTCAAGTTTGAGTTCGTCTGCGTAGGGCATAGGAAGTGAGAGTTTTGCTAACCTACAGACCGGTGCGATTCTGGTACTCGTTTCTCACCTCTCGATGTTGTTCAAAGGCGATTCCATTCAACATTCACACGCTTTATTTTTCACATTTCCAGACATGGCTCATCATATACCTACGTAGCAACACAGGCCGCTTGCTATTGGGCATCTCAGTCTGGTGGATGCAAGATTTGTGCTCTTGCAGGTATCAATGCATGGCTCCTCATGGAAGCAGGAAGCCTTAAGCCGCTGCACCTTCTGATTTTATTTTGTCCTGACACAAGGAGGTAAAATGAGTTTTTCCAAAAGCTGTTCTTGTTGCATCATGATGGAGTACAAGATATTTCATTTTACCTAGTCACAATCCTGAAGCACAAAATCTCCTGGTATACATTATACGAGGAAACGTCAAGTTTTCCAACACTGTGATAACCTGTGTGAACAACATTTTTGAGTGAAGCAGCATGATGGCTGCAGCATGTTGCATGACTGTGGAAGCAGAAGATGTCTTTGCATCTTTGTCATCCATGTTTTGTGGATTTCCAAAACAGGCTGAGCAAGTGTGTCACTTATTGGTTGTGTGCCCGCTGAGTGATTTGTATATCGTATCATGTGTTTTTGGTCACTCATATGTCAGATGCATAGTTAATACAAAAATGCATGCTTGGCCCATCTTTTCATGATGAAATTTATTACGAAAGTAGCAGGGATTGTAGTACAAAAACCATATCGTTGCTCATTATGTAATGCCACAGTACAGCACT